GTACAGTATTGTGCAGTACTTGACTTACAAACAGCCATTCCATCACCATGATCAATAATATCCCAAAACGAATGACATGCTTGCAAAATATTTTATTAAATCAAATTAATTATATATAATATATTGTAAATTGAACTATACTAAGTTATAGCATTTATTCACAGATTAACAAATAAACACAATTTTAAAGTTTTTTTTAATAAAATACATTTTATTTTTATAATCAACTATTACTTCTATTGAATATTTCTACCAAATTATATAATACAAATTTAATTTAAATCAATAATTTGTAACTATAATTAACAAGAATTACTAAATTTATAATAGTGAATTTATAATAGTGAGTGAGTGAGTGAGTGTGTGTGTGTGAGAGAGAGAGAGAGAGAGAGAGAGAGAGAAAGATTTGAATTAATTTAAGTGGTGGCATTAATTTTGTTTAACACTCAATTTTCTTAAATGTATACATAGTGTATTGTATAATAAATTATTGAGAAGTCTATATTATAGACTCTATAAGATACTGTATATCCCACACCTATCTGTAAACTCATGAGTGCCATCCCTACCCCTGATTCGGGTTCAACCTTCCCCTCAACTCAATTGAAAACCTGTTTACTCTCAATGAGGTTCTCATCTGTCTTAATACACACATTTCTCTACCCCTCCCTACCATTCCCTCTACCATTATAATAACTTTATTATGTTTTCAAGTTTCTTGAATACTGTACAGTATTACTGATATTAATTTAGAAAACAAATCAGTTTCCAGAGACTCAAAAATTGGGAAAATATTGAAAAAATAATTTATTCGGCAATTGATTGAAAACAATTTTTTACAAACAAACAGTCAGTCATTGATTTGATTTGAAGAAAATGGAAATAATTAATGTCTCCATTTATTCGTATAAATTAAGTTATTTGCAAACATTTAAAATGAATTCATGAAATGAAACACAAGTACAATAGCAATTCGCTTCAAAATGATTTCAATCAAAATAAACTTATGATAACATAAATTAAACATTTTATAGCATGTTTAGTGCCGGTATATACAATTAAAAAGACGATTCAGTGGTTTTCAGTTTTATTATCATTTAAATTAATATAAAGTTTAGCGATATTTCCATCAGAAGTGGTTCGGCCCACGAATTCTAACCGCTTTTTGTTGTTGTCTTCATTCAGTTTATTGGTCCAAATGTTTAGCAATGACTGCGAAGCCGTCGATAGACTCTTGTTTGACGACTCGACTCCATTGGCCTTAAACTTCTTGAGCGGCGCTTCCATTACTTTGGAACTGTTTTGCGTGTCATTCATGGGTGTGATGTCATGTCTGCCCCAGTCGTAGCTCTCCTTCCAGGCCCACTCGCTTTCGTTAGGTTTGGTGCCATTTGATTGAGTTTTGGTCGACTCGTCGGTGGCGTCGGCTGTAGTCGTGCGCACAGAAGGGGTGGTCGACGACGAGTGAGGGTCTGGTTTGGATCGACACTCCAGAAGACATGTCAGAATAGACTGGTGTTCAGGAGTTACACAATACGAGCGCACGAAGTACTCCATCTCATTCCATACCATTCGGTATAACTCTTCACGTTTGGGTCCCTTTCCTTTGATGCCAATGGTAGGCACCGGTAGATTCGTGCCTTTGCTCTCCATTCCCACCAAATGGTAGATTGATTTCTTGCATTCGAGTACTTCCTCTTCGGTTAAGTACTCTTTGGGCACTAAATGCAAGAAGTTTTGGATTTGGATTTGAATGTTATATAGGATTGTATTCCCGATGACGAGCGGCCAGTAAATGGTTTGCTTTCCCAACGATTGCTTCGACTTCTCGATGGGGAACAACACCTCTTTGTTAGCGCTCTGGTGGTGACGACAGGCCACCAAACGATTCCTTTTCATCATTTCTCCGAAGTCGTTGATCCGGTAGTCCGTCACTCGGCCACCACTTCCCTCGCTTATAGAGGGCGGGTCTTCCAGCGTTGATCTCCCGGTGCCTAACGTATGGATATATAGTTCTCCGCAATGACTGGACAGCATATGAGACATGATTTTTGTGCCCTTCAGGCGCGGCATTTCCAACATAACAGTCCTCCCACTCAATAGGAAGTTCGTGAGACAACTGGCCGGTCGACTGTTTACATCGACTGAAGTGATCCGATGGGCAGTCGTGCAGTAATGGAGTTCCACTGCATTAGTTCGAGGGGTACACCACTTGAGTGTAATGGTGTCGTAGGAGAAGCCCTCGCGGAAGGTCTTCACACACACGCCTTCAGTGCTGATGAGTCCAGTCTTGAAGGAGTCGGTGTGCGCTTCGGACGAGTGGACGATCTCCACGTCATAGTTGGCCGAAGAGCTGGCGTTTTGCTCCTCTTTCATAGGAATACCGGTGACTGTCGTCGACGCCAACGAGTAGTGACTTAACACGAGATACGAGAGCTTTGCGGCCAAAAAGCGGCCCGATTTCACCGAATGAACCTCCGATGACACCAATCCATTCAATTCATGTCGAGGTATTTCCATTATCTTCGATGTCATCGACTGGTCTTCGATGGGAAACGTATTAATGAAAACCAATTCACAGAAACTGATTGTCAGTAAACGACAACTTGTGTCCACTTTTCTCTGTTTGACAATCAATTCATTCCTCTCTGTTATCAACTCTTTCACCGAATCCTCAATCGATTTGATGTGAGAGTCGTTACGAAACGCGGAAATACAGACAATTCGTCCGCCGTTCAGATCCATCGCCGGCTCTTTGGAGGCCTTGTGTTGGTGGCAGTCCTGAAGATGTGTGGGAACTGCTAGCGATTCAATCGCTTTGTGANTTCAAGTGGGCGGTGGACCCGTTGGTGGCCAACCACTCCATGCACTTCTGGAGGGTCTGGTCCTCGCGGTTCCAATCGTTGCAATTGTTGGCCGAATCGGTTCCGCAGACCACGAACTGAATGAGTCGTTCGCCGTTGGGATAGATGTCCCAAACGATGCGACAATACTCGGCGATCGCCTCCACAGAACAGGTCCACAAAGATTTGGTGATCGGAGACAATGGGATGATTCCCGACGGCTGTCGAGACTTATTGATCACATCGAACTCAAAGGTCTGGTCACAACTGGTCTCCAAGAAGTAGTTGCTCTCATCCAATATCACCACAGTCTTATGGCTCACCGGACACGACATGACACCACTCTTCACACCATTTATTGAGTCACTCTTGGGATCCGGTGTTCACATGTCTTAAGACAACATTGATTTGTCTGTAAATAACGTCAACTCTTGTGATGACAACCAATAGATGGCAGCAAAGCATCCGTTCATTCATTTCATGATAACTTCTTCGGCAATGAATGCAATCATCGATTGAATGTTATATTCAATTCATTTCGTATGATATCTAATGATATATTCATTGTTATATTCATTGCATCTTTGAATCCACTTTTCGTATGACTTTTGTTTGATATTAATATTGAACTTAAATAAATAAATATCCTGACACATTCTCTAATCAATGGACACTTAATTGAAATGCTAATCAATAATCAATTAATTGTTAAGAATTGCTAGATGACAAAAAAAATAAAGTTAAGAATTGAGACCATAATGTAATAAATTGATAGGAATTGCCAATAAGTGATAACATTTAACTGTATATACCATTGAATGCAGAATATGTTAATATAGTTAATATAGGCTTACTGTATATAAGATTCTGTATTCTGTATTCTGTGTGCCGCCAAATTCCTTTCAGTACTCATGAATTGCACAATTATTTTATATTATTTCTGTATTAATTGATTGGTCACATGAATATCATTTGGATTTGATATAAAAGAAAATGTCTAAAATGATAAGTAATCATAGCCTATGATTCATAGGAATAGAAATGAAAGGTATTTGTTTAATAAAGATTTCAAATGATTTAAGCCTAATAGAAAACTTAACATTTAGATTTAAAAACTATTATTTAAATAAATTCATGGATCATATGTAAAATCGATTAAAAGCCAAAAATATGTGAATTATTTAGGGTTTTCTATTTGATTGGTTTGATATACACTATAATTAATGGCATTCAATGACATCCCCACTCTATTGTCTACCAGTGCTTTGCTGTCAATGTTTTTATGGGCCAACGATTTTTCTCATATAAATTGCTTCTCAACTCAAATCCATTGCTTATAAAAGTGTTGTTTCCCTTAAAAAATTCAAAATCTCGTATATATTTGACTTGTATTTGAAATGACTGCCAGATATGGCTAAATCCCATCGGCTCTTGAAAACAGAATTTTATTGATTATAAGAATCTCATTAATCGATTGATTTAATTAAAATCGGTTTCAATGCAATTCTATTCAATATATTCTTAACATTAAAAATAATCTTTAAAAGTGAAGCAATTTTTTATTTAACCCAAAAACTATTAGTTTGAAAAAATGTTTAACATTTGATTAATTCAAGCGATTTTGAGCTAAACAACGGCACATAACTTATATTCACAGTCTTTCAAACAATTTGTTTTCCTTACAGATCATAAAATAAGACCTAAACTTAAAAAACTCTTTTCAAGGATTGAATTTTTCTGAAGACTTTTTGATTTTTGTCGTTAAAATGTTGTGTTAAACAGAAATGAAATACAATTCAAACAATCGATATGTGAATGGAAAAGAAAATTAGCGTAAAATTTGGAGAAAGAAATTCAATATTTTTCACTTATTTGCTTTTTTGAGTTCAACTAAAATACAAACTTTAAATGTTTGTCAACAACACTTCGGTCAATAATCGTACATAAAATTGGTATTATATTT